TGACAGATAAGTTGAAAGCACAGGAATTTCAACATATATATTTTATTTCTTTAAGTTTTAAGAAAAATACTCTTGGTGCTTCCAAGGTTTGGTTTGGTTTGGGTATCGGTGTTCAATATGATGCGTGTTAGAGAGTTTGTTTGACAATACGTTTTTTTTTCACATGCCAGAAATGCTATTTTAGTTCGTCATATTTCAATGTTAAAATAAGCTGAAATGTTCATAAATATATTTTATTTTTATCAAATCTGGCTGGTTTTATTTTTAAAGTAAAAAAATCTGCTTGAAATGTATTTGTTGAAATTGCAAATCTTGCTGTTTCATCTGTATACGAGGGGCGTTCAATAAATAATGTCATCAGCTCCATGACATACAACATAGAAATCATATGACATTATGCTTGACTTTATCTAATTATTGAATCTTTAACGAATTGATAACAGTTTATGTGACCACTTTTCATCGCATAATTTCATTGTGGGAAGTTGGGAAAAAGCCATTAAATTTAGTTATAAATGAATGGTCAAGTAAATTAGAGTAAAATTGAACACGTCATTAAAGCTGCTGTAAAACTTGTTAATTTACCAAAAATATATTTACTGAAATATGTGAAATTTGCAGCAACTTATGTCTGTTTCATACACACATGAACAGGCGGATTTCAATTAACAAAAATTATATAATGGGCATCAAAAATGGGTACCCTCCTTGTCAACAAGGACATACAACAACTAATGTATATTTTTCAACAAATTATCAAATTATGTTTTATTGACTTTAAGTTTACCTAGCAAATTTGATAGACATCATATCGGGGATAGTTCACACTGTTTTAAAGAAACATTTGATTGTAAAAAAGTTTAATACTCAAATGTCACCCTACAGTTATAAATATGAATGAAAACGAGAGCGTGTAGAAAATCTAAACAATTATTTTTAAAAAATCAAAAATTGTTCATATCCACGTTTTTCTGAAATTCAAACATATCATGAAACTTGAATCCATTTGGCATTAAACCCTTATTAACAAATTTTTTGTACTTGACAAAACTGCAAAGGCCTAAGAAGAGCAAAAATTTGCAAGAACACAAAAACAGTTTTATACGCATTTTCTTAAATATTAGCCTTGTTGTTCAAATACATATATAGGGAGGCAGTATATATTTCTGGAGGAGTTAGTAAGCAAAATATTTGCCAAAAAATTGAAAGGTTTATGAGAGGAATATCCAGAGTGAGGATTTCACTACATTAAATTTCTTCCTGACAGCGTCCAAACCCACAGGCCATGAAGAGTAAAGGAATTTTGGGGTAAACAGATAGTTTTTTTGTCACATCAAATATTCGCCAGATCTTTAATCTTTGACTTGTTTCATTTCCAAAACTTAAAAACACCTTTCATGAAAAAAACAAGTACAAAATATAGGATCTGCCATTTTCCAGCATACGATTTATGTGTTCTAAAAACAGTTAGAAATTGAATAAAAATGTTACGGACATGCCTTTTAATTTTGAGAATATTTTATTTAAATCATTAAGACAAAATCATAGAAAAGCGATTTTTGTTTCTTGCAAAAGATGACATTATTTATTGAACGCCCCTCGTATATGTGTCTGAATATCCACATGACATAGGTAGGATGTCTTAACATTTAGATCAACGATCAGAAGGACAAACAATACCTGCACGGATGTAACAAGTTATCTACTGCTAATGTCTTATAATAAAAAGCCATTAAATTTAGTTGATACATGAGAAATTTTCTAATACGAGATTCATTAAATACAATACATATTTCAAAAAATAAAATAAATGGGGTTCATGATTTTCTGTTTTTAATATGTTTGCTGGATTTTGGAAAGTTATTGCTGTCAGTAATTTTAGACTTTACATGGACCTTTTTCATTTATTTTTTAAAATTCATTTAATTGACTTAAGTTGAAGCAACAAAAGCAAATTGCTTGATTACAGAAAATTAAAGTTTTTCAATTTTATTTACATGCTTGTATACAGTGGAATCATCAATGTTCATTTGAGGATCTCAGTTGATTCGATCCGCAAGAGCATGCTCTACGTATAAACACTTTCTAAAATGTGGTAGGTTATTTTCATACTAGCTGCTGAAAAAAGAATATCAGAATTCTCTTTAAAAGTCATCATTTCGTAAGTTCTATGGTTGATACAATGGCTTTGTCTGCAAATACAATTTATCATGAGGTCAAAGACATTTTTCATACTTATTTTTAAGCCATTATGTATTTAGTGAATTGTCAACAGATTTTACCGTTATTTCCCGATCATGATAAGGAGTACAGTACGGGTGTGACCGGTCGGCAGAAGATGCTCACTCCTCCATGGCACCTGATCCCACCTCTGATGTTATGGAGGCTGGAGTTTGCTCTGCTCTAATTTTGTATTGGCTAATGGACTTTTGAGCTTGAATACTTCTCGTTGTCTCCATATCTTTCATTTGTTCATTGAATTTTATGTACATTCGTGTAATACCCTCGAAATTACATCTCATGAACCAACAAAATTTTGCTTACCCAAGAACATTTACCCCAACGAATAAAAATAATGCCACGCTTAAACTTATTTGATTTAGTAACTGTTTTTGTCCATATATTCTATATAACATGACTAAGTGACCAGTTGATGTTCTTCCCCGTACTACCTGTCTCCAACAAGGTGTAATTAAGATGGGCGTTAAGACCTCTGTTCGGATTCCAGGAAGTTGGTCATTTATCAGGAATTCCTATTCACCTACATTTTATGCATTATGTAGTTGTCATATATCAGTGCTAACATGCAAGCTGAAGGATGGAGAGAAATATTGACATTTGACCTAAATGACACAGAGTAACCAACTTATAATAATGTACGTTTCATTTATTTACTTACGTGGGTATGTACAAAAAATTCTCAAGCATTGCCAACATTTTTGTCATTTAATTCTTTCATTCAAGAAATATGTCATTCAGTATACTTCAGCCAAAATATTTCTCGTTTACTACATTTTCTACTTTGATTCAGAAAACGCTCGACAAAGTGTTATAATGAATCACTGAGTCCATTGCACGTGGCAGGCAATCCATCTAAATCAGACATGCATCCCTATAAGGTCAAGACGAGGAAAAGAAAATAAAAATATTATTTAAAAAAACAAACTTTTTTTCTATATTTTCTGCTTTTCAGCTTTTTAAACTAAATTTGGAAAGTTATGAATTGCTTGGTAAATTATATTCTAGTATATCTATTTATGTTGGCATCTGCTATAGTTCTATTTTATGATAGGCCTCTTTTCTAGGGGAATTATTAATTATTATAAAATGATTTTTTCTTTTGCCGGAAAATCTCTTAGTTAATTGTGGAAGTAATAAAATGACCACAAAAGGTAAATCAAAAGTAGAGAAAATGTAAGACGGACATTTATATCATGGTCCCGCCCGGTCAAATAAATAGCCCCCGTAGCTATAATCACGAGCCAAAAAAAGTATAGAGTCACTAGGAAGGAGAAAAATATTTCGCTATCTTCAATTTAAATGATTTTTTAAAAAACAGATACAGCTCAAAATATATTTTTGAAAAAAAAGCTTTTAATATATTGAACTATACCTTCTTTTGACTGTAAATTTGAAAAGGAGTGTTTTATGTAAAATTCTTTGAAGTATTCCCCTTTCTGTACCCCAGTACAGGAAAAGTCCAATGTAGATGATCAAGGATCATTGCAAAGGTATTCGTAGACAACATACAGAAAAAAATGAGAAACGTACAAAATAATTAGGCCTTTATTAGGAATATTAAGGCGAATTTGGATTGAATCTTTAAGGTAAGATAAACTTTTATAATGTTTTGTTTTGATCACTGAAAAATTTGTCCAAAAGATTTGAAACAAAGAAAATAAAAGGATCATTGATCTTTTACTATAAAAGAATTAAACAGACATATATTTGAATATATTATTTATCTGGATATTTTTTCTATTGATTTTTATGATTATCATATATTTTTTTTAATTAGCTAATACAAAAAAAATTATTATTAAAATTATCTATCAATATTTTCATGGTATAAGCTTAGGTAGAAGGATACTCATCAATTCCGAAGTACATATCGCTTTTTGAAATTATTTTGATTTGAATTTAGTAAAACAGACTCAAAAATTATTTCTCAAAGACGATTATACTCTTCGATCATTCTTCCCAATTAATGAAATTTTTATATACACCTTAGTTAAAATAGTAATATTGAGAGCTCATCAGTTAAAATGGAAACCATTTCTTATTGTAAATTTCTTCTTTTAAAAAAAGCGGGTAAAAATAAATATTCTTGGACCCCACCCATTTTTATTATCTCTCTGTATTAATGATCTGTATTTTTATGTACAATACAGCGTTTGTTAACTGCTAATTAGGATTGATGTGTAGTAAGATGTTGTCAATAATAAATACCTGGGGATATAGCCGACCAGAAATGACCACCGTACATAAGAACATACTTAGTGTTTGTTAACTAGCTTGTACACTGTCCAATATCCTAAGGTCCACTAAAAGACAAGATACACACGTGTTTGAATGAAATGTTCCATCATTATAATTATTCTGCAGATTTTTGCATTAGTAATGTTAAAATTGACATGTAATGATATCATCGACACAGTGAATAAGAATATGTTGTAATGAATGTTTTTAGACGGTAGATCACTATTTCATTAAAGTTTCCATCTTTTAATAACCACCGTTACATTTGTTGAAAGTACAGGTGCTTAGGGCCTATAGTTCAAATATGGATTTTGAGGTATACCTTTAAATGAAGATTTAGTCAGGGAAAATATATTTTCTTATTTCAAAAGTTTTACTGATACTATTTTAAGAAATGATTTGAAATTTCAAGAAATTGAAACAGATATGTAGACTTATTAAGCAAGATATTGGGTAATACCTGAATATTTACGTATATTACCCAAAAGGAACTGTAAGTTACGAATGATTTTTCATTACAGAAACAAATAAATATGGCGGATGGATTGTGTGCTAAATGTTCCAGATACCTCTTGGTTGTCTTCAACTTTTTCTTTTGGGTAAGTTTTTCGTTTATTAATAAAAAATTATTCGAAATGAGGGAAAGACAAAGTGTTCCAGCATGTTTTCCTAAATTTTGTTTACGAAATTTTTATATTGTATCATAGAAAAAAAATGTACATTTTTTTATATTTCTTTAATATGAATATTATGGGTAATGTGATAAAAATTCTTCGTATGTTATCTTATATGGTAATAACCTGAGGTTACTTTACTTCAAGACGTTAAAAATGAACACAGAAACTCAAAATATGGCATTTTTATCAAGACATTCATCTTTGTTAGTCTTTGAAAGTTACTGAGCTTGCTTTTTTCTGTAAATTTTGGAATCTTTGATAGTTTAAACTTTCAATGTAATAAAACATATTAATTTTACAGGTATCCGGATGTGGATTACTGGGAATAGGAATATGGATTTGCGTGGATGACAGAATAGAGGACTTTTTGGGAAACGCAAATATTGGTTTCCCATTGGACTGGATTTACATTTTTGCGTACGTCATAATAGGTGTCGGTGGATTTATTTTCATAACAGGATTCTGTGGTTGTTGCGGAGCTGTGCGGGAAAGTGCGTGGATGCTAGCTGGTGTAAGCGGGTATTTTAACTATTTGTGAGAGGAATAAATCTTTACAGTGTCATAATTTTGATAATTAGTTGAAAAATTTGAAAATGTAGGTGAAGATAATGAATCACTGGTAGAAAAATGAAGTTGGTGTGTGTGTGTGCTTTCTGCAAAACTCTTCGTCTCAGGGGGCGACTTACTCATGATCATATCGTCTTGTTATAAATTGCAGAACCACATACTTGAACTATTTTCCTCAGCTTCCTCATTAATATTTATTTCAAGGCATATAACCCCCCCCCCCCCGAAATTGATAGTCTTTTATAAATGTACAAGGAAGCAACACAGATGGAACTCTTATCACCACCTCCTTAATTTCAACTTCACAGGAGGGGAAAGTTTATAAATTCATATAAAAATCCAAAGTCTCTTTTTGTCAATAAATTAAAAAACTTTCAAACACTTTTTGAAAAAAAAGTGTTTGAAAGGGTTCTTTATTTCATATAAAAATATATACATGCATAACATTCCTCTTAATTCTATGGAGTCTCCTTAACACACATATATCAAAAAGGTACAATTTGAGTACTTCCTTTTTCGCGCACTTGTTTTCAACGTTGAAATATCCGATGAAGACAAATAACTACTTATTAAAGTGATCACTTTTGCAAAATTTAGGTTCAATTACTACCTTGTGTCTCTCTCCAACCTCCTCTGACTGAAAGCGGAAATTGTCAAATTTAGATAACAAGTCAATTAAAATTCATGATTATTTCATAGATTTGTATAAATTATGTAACTGTAATTAATATTTCTTAATAAAATAGATTCACAAGTGAAAGTATATTTATGCACGAAAGAGATACTATTTTAATTTGATACATTAAAAATTGCAAAAGCATACATTAATTAAGAAATATACATACAAATACTGTGAAAAGACGAATTTTAGGGGTTGAGATGAGGTATTACATTTACATTCTATTTGTGCTATGAAGAGAGTTACGAATTCGTCAAAGTCCAAGTCCCAATCCCCTGGGTCATAAAACTAAGACTATATCACTTTTGAACTCAGTCTCACTTTTCCACTATTAATTACTTTTGTTAAAAAGATTTTAAAATGAAAAAATTAGCGCGTCTAAGTTGTATGGTCCCCGGAGTCTAACAAAGAACTATATGCGGTATATTGCATATATATGCCCCCACAAAAGTCAGATTTTGAAAACTTCCTGATATGTGCTGAATTCAATAAATTGTATGAGAAATATATATATATATATATACAGAACATATTATAGTTTCAAAGCAGTTTATTCACAATTTTTGTTTTTATGACGTCACAAACTAGTCTGATTTTATATCCTTTTTCAGAAAGAGTACAAAATGGACAAAATTTCAACAATTTTAGCTCTAAAATTTATAGAGCGCATGCTTGTTCAGGAACAATATTTACATATTTCATTGATATTATCATTCTACACATTATATCAAAATATTGATCCTGAACACACATGCGCTCGGTGACTTCTACTCAAAATATCGACGAAATATGTACATTTTTCTGTAGAATTCATAAAAAACTAAAATTTACGTCATGTTTGTGACGTCATTACGTACATATGACGTCATTACGTATGAAATTATTCAGTGCTTTGAAATCAGCATATACTCCCCTGTTTAAGAACTTAATTAAATATACCTCCATCAAAGTTTGATTTGGGGGGCGAATATTGGCTATTACCGAATAAAGTTCTTTCGGTTCTCCAGTCAGGAAATCCTATCCTCTCAAACCATTAATTTTTCTTACTCAAAAAACGAAAGAAGTAATATTTACAGGTCATATTATCCTTGTTGCTGTCTTAACTTGACATTAATTATAGGTTTTGTCGAAGGAAAAAAAAGTAAATCGTGCATTTGTAGAAGAATTTATTTCTGATATAAAATGTTTGTTACATTGAATATTCATTATAATTGTCCGAGGAAGTTTCGTAATGCCTCCACTAAGATAGAGTTATGTTCAATCCTGAGTCAGGCCTAGTTAATAGGACATTGATATACTAACCTTGTTAATTCAAGATCTTAATTTCCGTGAATTATTTCCTGATCCTAAGTTGAATAGTAATTACATGTATTAAAGCCTTAATTCGGTTTAATGAAGAGATTATTCCATATTTTAAAGTTTTGCCCAGTCATTTCTACACTTCACATGTTTTTTATGAATTTCATAACTTTTAAAAGAACTCATTTTAAACTTATTTACAAATATAAATGCCAAAGCTTTGCATACCCCACATAGGACAAAGTAATGTATATAATGTATATATCCATTGTTTCATACCTTTACCAAACTATTCATTTAAAAAAAAATTATATGGCATCCTTTTTTTCAGTATATAGGATGTGTCGTCCTTATTCTAGTAGCTGAGTTAGTGATAGGAGTGTACACCGCAGTGGAACGAAAAAATGTAAGTAAACAAGAAAATGTAAGTTCATACTGGAATATAATAGTTTTTGTCAAATATCTTCATTTTCCTTTCTTTATCTTTATTTTAAATCATTTATATACTGTGAACATTAAATACGTATTAGTATGTATTTTACGTGTATATTTTAAACTTTCTTAGTTGGAAGGAATGCTTCAAAATGAGCTGACTAAACTTGTGAATGACTACACATACCACGACAATAATAAAACGATGGATTTCCTTCAACAACATGTAATGTATATTTCCGCAAACTTAAAGACGTTTTCTTTAAAAATTTACAATAATTGCAGATATAACTTTTAATACAAAGAGTATTACACATCCGTTGTCGATATTTCATGTACATATGTCCCTTTGTCATTTCTTATTATAAAGAAATGTACATCATGCATTTATTTACACAAGTTTCAAACGTCTAATGTATAAGAATAAGAATAAACTAGTAATATATAAGAGAAATTAAAAATTGATAAGAATTCAGTAATTAATTATTTAAGTAAATATTTTAATTGTTATTTCAGTTTGATTGCTGTGGTGCTAGAAATTTTTCAGATTACAGAGATACTCAACTAAACAACGGGACAACTGCAATTACAGTAAGTACAAAACATAGACCAGCAGGTTCATCCATGTCGGGCGCCTAAAGGTCCACAAAAGGTTTTATCTTAAAAAAGAGTAAAGAACTTGCTTTACATGTATATGTCTACATTAATGTGAAAAATCTATGCACACATAATTAAGTGACATTTTTGTAGTATGTAGGGAATTTTTCTCCAGATCTAAATTTTTTACCCTCGTCTTATCATAATGTGATTTATGTAATCCTAGTGATCTGGCTAGTCTACCGCTGTAATTGAAATATAACAAAACAATGTATATTGAGTGAAAATTGTCATTTATTAAATGACAATAAGTATATAACACAAATAAAGTTAAGGGGAGATCACCAGGATATTTCCTGAGTACAAGGAACAATAACTTTGGCAACGGTATCTCCCCTGTTGCAAACAATCATTAATTTGGCAAAAATATTTTGACAAATAAAAAGTATATAAACTACAAAGTTGTCAAAACAAAAAGCTGCCAATATTTTTATACAAACAAAGTTTTTAAAAAATTTCATAACTTAAGCAAAGTCAGTAAGGTAATACATAATACAGTTTGTGATCAATTGCCTATATAATCATGAAAGATCCCCTTCGAAATATGTCAACTTCAGCATTTTCCTATGTGGACTAAGAATAATTTTTAACAACGTAATTTTATAGATTAATAGTACCCGGCACATGATTTTTAAAAAGTTGTGAAATTCAATTTATTTAAAAGAAAAACAATTATCTATGATGTCAAAAGTCTGTTCTTTAATTTATCGTATGGAATGGTTGTACATGTATAAGCTGTATAGAAAAGAAACATGTTTTGCTGTTGTTCATGAAAAGTTTTAATATTCTTTGGATTTTTTTTAGAATCAGCATCTGTTTTACACAATTTCGTGAAATACAATTGTACAGTACGTCTGTATACATTAGTTTGTATTTTAATGAGGAGCAGGGATAGGGACTTAATTGAACATACTGGACTTTATAACTGTAACATATATCTTTGTTCGTAAAAACTGAAGTGATGTTTTGGAATCTAGTGTAAGTTAGGTTAATCAATGTTAAACGTATTTGAAACTGAAGGATAATTTTGAAGGAATTGTTTGAAAGAGATTTCTGAGTAAAGGCTGGATTACCGGATGTCGAATTCAAATCGAGTCCCTCTAAAAAGCCATCGAAATAATGAGCCTCACAAAGACTATATTGCTACCATCTCTGGAAGAAAACATGTCATTGTGACACCAGATCCCCTTTCTTAATATATTTCTAAATATAAAAATCAAATACACATTGATATAGCATATCTTTTATATACAGTTTCATATATCATTTTCAGACTTGGATCGTACCAAAAAGTTGTTGTAAAACAGGAAACACACAGAAATGTTACGATGAAGCCAGAAATCTTGGACCACTATATACAGAACTAAGAAGTCAGGTATAAGATTTTCATAATAAGTTTGGAAATTAAGTATAATTTTTGTTTAATTCTAAAACATTTTTTGACTTCACCGGAGTTCAATTCCCGTTGCATATCACAGATCTGATTGTCGCCCGCGTTGGTTAGAGCGTCCCGGTCGCGAAGGAGTCAATCCTTATGCATATCACAGATCTGATTTTTAAAAAAAAGGAGTCTTGATATGTAAATTCCTTCTGACATTTTTTTAAGGAGTGTTGATATATTCCTTCAGACATTCTGAACATCGGGGAAATTGTAAGGTAATTTAAAAGAAAACACCATTCTCTCCTTTAATAGGTCATGTTGTTTTCTTTTTACAGAGTTGCTATGACAGTGTATTAGATTTTCTGTATGGAAATGTGGTCATTTTAATCTCTGTTGTGGTAGCCGTGGCTGTTACAGAGGTAGGTGTGGTCAAATCTAAAATAAACCAATATAAAGATTATGGATTAATTTTTTTTTACATACTGTTATGTTTATATTTGTTATTTACCGGTGTTTGTTAGATAAATTTACAGGTAAACTATCAGTGAAATTGTCTTTCTGATGCAGATTTCTGCTTGAACGTGAACTACATGTTCTTGATTATGAATCAACAAATGATTAAAATATAATTTTTAAAAAATTTAAAAGTTTTTACTCTGATTTTTCTTAAATACGGAGTGAAATGAGACAAGAAAAGAAAACATGTTTATTGTATATGTTGCAGAAACATACACCTATGCAACGTAACAATAATAATGAAATTTTTTTTATTAAATCTTAATTTTTATACTTTATTTTTCCTTTTTCAGATCCTGGGAGTGATATGTGCAGTGATATTGTGTCAAAACAGGACAGACTATTGGGATTGGGACTGATATTCTTCTACAGCTGTTCATTAAGAAACTCACAGAGGATCTGTTTAGTTCATTACTTTAATACCTATAGTGGACACTTGTCTCAGAAGATTTTGTATATAAAAGCAAATATGATGAGGGGAACCAAAAGCTCTGATGAAAGAAGGAGATGATCTAGTGCATAATGAAGTGTGAGAGAATTTATGGTCAAGGAATTGGCAGTAACATTTCTGTTGATGATTCAAGCTTTGTTGCTTTGACCAAATATGGGATAATGTAATGTTAAATTATTTTCTTGCTTTTACAATATCTTATAAAGAAAGAAATTTAAAATGAGTGATTTCAACTGAGAAAATGATGCATACAGATAATGTACTTAAGTTTAAATTGTACATAATTTTCATGTCATTGAACATATCATCTTTGAATGTATACTGGAAGTACTTGTCTTCATACTGTTATGATTGTACACAATTATATCTAAATGCTCATCAATTTTAATTAAAAACATCTTGTTTATGTAAAGCATCTGACAAAAAGGAGGATAACTCTGGATTTTTTCATAGTTCTTTGTTTGTTCAATTTCATTTATTTGGTCGAAGTAACACGAATGCTCCATGGAATAGTATGATTTTACAGACAATAATGAAAAAATACATCAGCCCTTATACATTTCATCCATACATTGATACAATCAATAATTTTGATGTAAATACATTGTATATGCAGTTGATTTTTCACATGTTGCTGTTATCAATGTAAAAATGATAAAAAAGGAATTAAAAAATACTTATATCATCAATTTTACCTTATTTATTTTCACCGTAATATTTTCACATAAGAGAATATCGCTTTTAAAGGTACTTGGACACAGATTTGAAGTTAATTTTTTCTCTATAATATTACGACTTATATATTTTAATAGCATTTCACACAAAAATTAATTAAAAATCTTATTTCATTTATAAGTAATTAAATTTTTTAATTTTTTTGGCGGGTTGATTGACACGCCCTTGCACTTTCACAAATTTTAACTTTATTCTTAATCCGTAGGAAAAATGGCAATCTTGTTGTGTATTAATGAAAAATATTAATACTATAATCCAGAATATTAAGAGTAGACATGTTCGAAAGCAAAACAAACACACAATGTATTGTCAGTCCGTTACAAAAACTGTGTACATAACACGAGTGTGTTCGATCCTGTGCTTTAAAGATTTATGTTTGGGCCTCAATTTATATTTTTATGCATCATATCAACATTACATTTGTATTTTGAATTGCAAATTAAAATATTTTCAATTCAAACACACTATTAAAGGTACTTGGACACAGATTTGAAGTTATCATTTTCTCTATAATATTACGACTTACATATTTTAATAGCATTTCACACAAAAATTAATTAAAAATCTTATTTCGTTTAAAAGATATTGAAATTGCAAATTTTTTGGTGGGTTTGATTGACATATCCTTGCACTCTCACAAATTTAATTTTATTCATCCTTAGGAAAAAAGGCAATTTTTTGTATAAATGAAAAATATTAATACTATAATCCAGAAAATTCAGAGTAGACACGTTCGAAAGCAAAACAAACACACAATATATTGTCAGTCCGTGCAGTTGTGGTAAGCAGACTGTGACGATTGAACGCACCCGGTGAATTCTAAATATAAACAATAACAGTACTCGAGCCCTGTTTACAAAAACTGTGTACATAACACGAGTGTGCTCGATTTGCTAAACTCTGTACGCATCTCTTAGTTCGGAATGACGATACTTGTGAAGGTGTTTTGTTTTCTAACATTTCTATTCTGAATAAAATTATTTTTCTTGATAAAAGTTTTAATATTTCTCATTAAAACACATCAAAATTGCCACTTTTCCTAAGGATTAAGAATAAAGTTAAAATTTGTGAAAGTGCAAGGATGTATCAATCAAACCCGCCAAAAAATTTAAAGTTTTAATAACTTTTAAATGAAATAAGATTTTTAATTAATTTTTGTGTGAAATGCTATTAAAATATATAATTCGTGATATTATACAAAAAAAATGAGAAAATATTAACTTCAAATCTGTGTCCAAGTACCTTTAAATTCTAAACAAAAGCATTATGCAAAAAACAAAATATTTTGCGGATTAAGTTTTTTTTTTAAAGAAAATAAGTATTTTTTTCTCTTTTTGAAGTACTTACACACTGTTTAATTTGGATTCCTATTTTTTCCTTCCGGTATACAAATACATTTTTTCCCGGTGATATGTTTTAAGATGATCCTGAAATATTTATTAAATTAGCTTCTAGGAATTTTATCATCTTATTATGAAAAAGAAAGTAAATATTTTATGAAAGCACAGGGAAAATAGAACCAATTTTAACTTAAATTCAACATTTCTTTGAAATATCTTTTTAAAAATGCATCATAGATCAAAGCTTTTTACTTTCTTTTCTAGCCTTGATCATTCTGCTTAGATTCATTATAAGTTATAAGAATTAAAATAATTTCCCTGCTTAATTTCTGCTTAATTTTTAATTTCATACATTTGTGAATGCAGAGAGGTTAAATAACAGAAAAAAATATGTAAAATATATTGAGTACTTAAAAATTCTAGAGACTTTTGAAATCAGGTTCCAACCATTTGAAACATCTACGTTTCTATTGTTATGTACGAGTTCCATATTCAACGCATTTTTACATTACATTTACAAATATGTACTATTATTGTATTAAAATTTATATGTTCAGAAATAATCAAAAGGCATTAGGCAGCTATTACTTTTTTACAGAGAATTACTAATTTACTATTTCTAGAATTATCTAATGGTGATATGCAATTTAATTTAAAAACACTCAATCGATATGCTGATAACCTAATTCATTTAACCAGTCAGAGAGCTGGGAATAAAAGAGAAACTAACAACTGTCGGAGAATTGCCAGAATTGGTTCCTTTCATGTATTCATACAGACAGAGATAATTCAGAAAAATTTTCTGTCGTGTTTTTTTTAATCATTTTGATTCTAAACAAGTACTCTAAAGTTAATATATAAAAATAATGGAGTTCCCAATTGAAATATCTGTAAATGTATTGCTTGCAAACCAGTTCTTCAAACAAAAAAAATCTGTTGGTACATTAGATCGACAATCATACTTATCTATAATTGCCTTTCTGATGTTTAGTCTTACGCATCAGAATATTTTCAAAAACATCTTCATAAGGAGTAAAAAAAAAATCTTTTCAAATATAACAACAAACCTTTATGATAAATATGATGATCTCAACTTTTCAATCGTCAACATCCCTTCCTTTTGTAGCAATGATATATCCTGATCACCTGCATAAGATTATGTGGCTTACGCAGATGATTCCATTAGTTTGATAAATTTTATATTCGATATAATGACCATGTCAGAAAATAATACATAGAAAAGTTAAATGCACTTTTCCTATTTATAATCACAACATTGATATTATTTTTTCCCGATTATGAATTAAAAATAATATGTGGCCTAAATAATATCTCATAGTAAGTGATCTAATGTTTTACGAAATTCGTGTTTGATTTACTCCCAAATTGCATTGTTTAAATGGACAAGGAGTTTGAACACTGTTCGTTATCTCCAAATTTCATTTAAAAAGTTTCATACCTACATGTACGCCTAATCAATAAATCCAGATGATCTGAGAAGAAATTGCACCACAATATTTGTCGAATCCCTTATATATTTAGATGCTATTCTGACCATTATTGCAATGTAAAAGCAAAATTATATAACAAGGGAAAGACTTCTGCTTTTCAATCGTCAAATCCTGTCTATATGCCTTTTAATAGTTTACAAACATTGCATGTGCTGTTAATGTATTCAAATGATATGAAACACAAGAAAATGTTCTCAAAATAATTGATTATTAATCTGAATCAGACAATTAATTGTTGATATTTCAGAATTTTTTAATATACTGTCAATGTATATTGGACACAAATACAGTCTAATTGGGTTGTATTTTAATTGTATTTGCTGATTTTATATTAATTTTGACTACCGATGATTCCGTTTATCTTATCTGTTTTAAAAAACTCTTCGTAGATGTACTAAATGTTACACCGCATCTCAAAAGATGTCGAATGTTAAAGAATGAACTATGATTTAACATGGTTTGTTATCTCTCTATAATCCTTTGTAAGGAAAATATGTTCTGATTTAAATTTCATCATTTTTTTTTTTTATTAAATTTCCAACATTCAGTTAACAACATACATGTAAGTATTAAATTCAATTGAAAAAAAAGTTATAAATAAAAAAAATTTATAGCATGTTTTGAAGAAATTTTAACACGATAAATAGAGAAATAGCACTAATTTATAATCACAAATTGATATTATTTATGTTAAAAAATAATAAAGCGATAAAGCGGTATTTTAGTAAAATATTACAAAGTGTGCATCAAAATAAAATAATTCAGTGAATCAAATTAGACAATGCATTAATGTATAAATAAACCATGGTTAAAGAAGGGTTATAAATGTATAATGATTACTTTTCTGTAAATTGTTGTTTTTTTTAAATCTAATTGCCGTCAAATAAAAATAAAAAACATACAAACATTATTTTTAAAAATTACAATGAACCACAAAGTTAGATGTGTTTTTGAATTCTGATTGTTGTGTTTAAAAAAAACACACACACACAAAGATACAAACATGTATGTATAGAATTAAAATAAAATTATAGAATGCTACTGAAATTAAAAATACAAATCGAAAATTATAGAATAAAAATGATTAAACCAAATTGTGGATATAAAGAATACAAATGAAAGATAATAAATAAATGTACAATATAAATGGACATAAATATAGTACAAACGAAAATCAAAGATCGCGAATTGCAATCTGAAATGACATGAAGATTCAATATGTATAAATTTATCAGATGAAGTTTTCCTTCTTGATGAACTGGTACATGGATAACGTGACGTCAATACACGACTGTGTAGAGTATAATTTACGTTAAAAGGGATGTAAAAATTCTGACACAGCCTTGAACTAACTTGAAGTAATAAAACTTTCCTTCTAAATGAAATAACTGGAAAACAATGAATTACGCAAAAGAGCTGTCGTCTTCGTGAAATGTCAGGTTAACCCCTCTCGATATTCAGTACAGACTCGTAGGACGTACGAAGGGTTTATGACACAATTGACAAGAGATTTTGAATAATGCTTGTTGGAGTTAGTGTTGAGAATTCGTAACATTGGGTATCAATTTCATAAAATATGTTCAAAAAACGTGTATGAATTAACGTAGAAAATTACACAAAAATTACACATTTAAACAATAAAGAAATCCAACGATTTCTATAAGTTTAAAAGAAAATAAATAGATTTTACAATAACTCTTTTCCTTCTTAATTATCTAAAATTGTATTCTCGTTGATGACTTTCTTCTCCATCAAATCTACACTCGCAAGAATCATTACACATACAAAGCTATTACTTAGCAACAAATGTTCAATTTAAGATGATGCATGCTATGATGTCATGTTAGCAAGGGTGATTTTCACGACAGAATAATAATTAATGAACGAATGACAAAGTGAGTCTTCTGTACATTAAATAATGTTTCACATGTGGTGATGTCATAGAAATGAATGAACAGATGCCGTTGTACCGACCGTATGGATGAAGAATTCCTTTAGAAAATGGTTGTGTCTCTTTACATTAAAAAGCAGACCTTTTTTGCAATTTTTCCAAAAACTTCTGTATGAAAAGAAATCGCTTGCTGTG